GTGTGTGTGTGTGTGTGTGTGTGTGTGTAACAAACAGGTCAGAGGTAGGCACGGGACCACAGAAGGCCCGGCTGAGAATAGAGCAGCCCAAATGCTAACCCTGCCTCTCTCCCTCAGGGGCCCTGAGACCCCCAGGCCCTGAGACCCCCAGGCCCAACTTCATCCCACCCGAGTCTTGGCCTCCTCATCCCCAGAGCACAGACAGCCAAGGAGGTGCTCCAAGAATTAATCGGGGTCTAGTGTGTCTGATGCAGGTACAGTGACGATAACAGTACCTGCAGGTCACCTACAGACTTAACTGGTCTGTGGACAAAGGCAAGAATGAGAGTGGTGTGCATAGGTGGCGGCGTGGCCGTCATTTCCAATGGGCTCTCTGATGAGTCGTGTGAGCTTATAGCCAGGCCTCCGAGTGACCCCTCACCACTGGACTGAAGCGCCCACCACAAGCTCGCTTGCCGAGCACAACTCCAAAGGACTCCTGAGCCCCGAAACTCTACCCTCCGGAAAGACAGGAGTATCATTTCCACGGGGCTTCTCAGAAGGGACATCAGCAAGGTTCTTCGGGAAGTTCCCGGAGAGCAGGTGGGGGCAGCAGTGCCCAGGGCCCGAGCGGCAGTAACTCCCGACACTTCCCAGGGGGCTTTCTCCAAGCAGAGGGCATTCATTGTTCATTGGAGATGCATGGGTTCTGGTCTACGTGTAACACCAAAACGCAAAACCCACCAGCCTCCTGCTCCAGCCGTAAGCACATAGAGTGCCGAGCCTGCCTCGCGTCTCATCCTTGCTGCCTCAAGGACACACACGCCCACTGTTCAGATGGGAAGACTGAGGAAGCAAGGGGGGATCGTGAGCCAGCCAGCGGCAGCGCTAGTCTGGTTATCGTTCCCTGCGCCTCCTACGACCCCCCCAAAGCTGCCAGCTCTGAGTCAGGGCCTGACCCCTCAACTCCAAGGCACCCGGGGGCAGCCCAGTCAGCCCCCGGTCCTCCAACTCCTCTTCTCAGTTAGACGTCAGCTCAGGCCACTGAGCTGGACCCCCCCAGCACTGGCAGTGGGACGAGTGAGTGAGGTTCCCCAGGGTGCCCGGGAAACCCAGGGGACTGATGTCCCTCCAAAAGTTGTCTTTCACAACAACGTGAATCCTCTCACCCACAAAGGGGATCACTGGGGTGAATTCCCTTCTCTGAGGCTCTTGGGCATGAACAGTGGGGTGCCTTACAAAATGACACACACACAAAACACCTCAAGCGCACTGCCACCAAGTCAATTCTGACTTATGGGGACCTAGCGGGCAGAGCAGACGGATAGAGCAGCTGCTCCGGCAGGTTCCCAAGGCTGTACATTTTTACGGGAGTAGAGAGCTTCATCTTTCTCCCACGGAGCAGCTGGGGTTCTCCAACTGCTGACCCCATCCACTACACCATCGGGGCTGGAAACAAAAAACATTTCTAATCATCAAAGATCAACTAAAGAGTTTTGAGAGCTGGTGAGTTCCCTGTCCGCGGTAGCATGCCAGAGAAAAGTCAAGTAGTCATTGGATCAGATCGGGGAGGAGGCAGGCCTCTTTCACCCTGAGATTGTTTCGCTCTAAGACCACGAGGAAGAGGGAAACGTTTGGGGCCAGGAGATGGCTGGCCAGGGAACCCAGGAGGACGGACACACACACACACACACACACACACACACACAGCCTTACCTCGGCAGCCTTGTTCCTCCCCTCATACAGCAGCAGCTCCTCTGACAGCAGGAGGGTCCGGGCAGGGTTACAGAGATCTAGTGGCTGAAACAAAGCAGGCAGGGCCTGAGTGGGTATGGAGAGGGACGAGGCTGCTGTCAAACCAGCCACAGAGAACCCTCTCTCTTTCCTACACGCCGCCCCGCCCCCCCCCAGGAGCCCACACGCCCCCCTCACACACAGCACCCAAGGCGGAAACAGAAAGGCAGGCGCACTAGCTCTGCTGCCACCTTCCTCCCCGAGCCTGGTTGTGAGAACAGCGCTCTCGGGCCGGAAGTCCAACCACGCGCTCGGGGCCTCCGCAGCAGCCCCCACCCGCCAGCCACACACCCTCTGCTTTTCACACGCCTCGTGTGGGAGTCCCCGCTTTCAGGCCATGACCGGGTCAAGTCCGAGGCACCCCACCTCTACATTCGCCCCGCACCCGGGCTAACCAACTCCGACTCAGCCACGAGGAGTTCCCCAGGGGCCGATTCTCACCCACATCTCTCACTGACCCCCATCATTCCAGTCTGCCCGCTACCCCTGCGGCACACTCCCACCCCGAGCCCACCCTGTCCATCCCAGAGAAGGCTCCTTGAGCCCCGGCTTATTCCCACGAAGGAGAGCCTGACCCCACGCCAGGTGCCTGAGAACAGCAGCGCAGCACACGGTGAGCGCACACCCCCGCCTGGGGGAGCTTGTACGGGATGCACCGTGGGAGAAGCAGCACCCAAGAGGAGCGTCCAGGGTGTGGTTCCACTGAGTGACAGCCGCAAGAGCAGGCCTGCGTGGGTGGCAAAACCAGGGACAACAGGGGCCGAGTGTCAGAAAGTCAGGCCAGTGTAGCTCTGGCTGGGAGAGGGGGTGCCGGGTCAGGAAGGGTTCTGGAGTGGTGGCAACAGTCTATTCCTGTACCGCTGAGGATCCAAACCCACTGTGTCAAGTCGACTCCGGCCCATGGCGAACCTACAGGGCGGAAGAGAACTGCCCCTGTGGGTGTCTGAGGTTGCCACCATGTATGACAGCAGGCAGCCTCAGCCTTCTCCTGTGGAGCAGCTGGTGGGTTTGAACTGCCGAGCCTGCAGTTAGCAGCCCACAGCCTAACCCACTAGGCCACTGGGGCTCCTCCTTCCAGCAGTCACTTCACAATAAGGAGTCCAGGGATGCATCTCGATTCCCCTCTCTGCCATCAAGTCCATACTGACTATGAGACCCCCGTGGGTGTCTGGCTCTGTCACTGTTCACGGGAGTCGAGAGCCCAGTCTTGCGCCCTTGAAGTTGCTGCTGGTTTCAAACTGCCAACCAGGTGGATCGCAGCCCAGAGCTGTGTAACCACGACATCACTGGGGCCCCTTAGACATCTAGATAGGGTTATGTCCTTTGGGGTTCACGGAGGTCACAATTCAAAACAGGCTTTAACTTTTTTTTCCCCAAAGGATTTTAATTGTTTCTGAAAAACGTAGAGTGCTGCTGAAATACAGCCCCCAGAGGTGGCAAGACCTTTGGGGGACAACCTCAGGAAGAGAAGAGGCCAGCAGAAAGCCCACGGCCAACAGACGGACCAATGCGGGAAGACGGCTGTCCCCCACACCCACACCCGGGAGCTGCTGGCGCTATATCCTCACGGGCTGAGTTCTCAGAGCAGCTGCACACTGGCCAGCCAGCATCATTGGCTCGTGCAGGTACAACGAGTTGGCATGACAAGAGCTCTTAGAGATAAGCATGTATGTGGTTCCACGGTAAGATTTTTTTTTAAGAGCTGAAAACAACAGCCAACAACAAAAAGATCCACACCTGGACAGGGACAGGCCCAGGAAAGGACGCCAGAGAAGGATGTCGCCCTGGGCTGCCGCCGCCGAGAGGACAGACTCACAGAACCTTCTGGAACGCCATCTGTCCATCTATAGAGTCTACGGTGGTTAGCATCCTGACCCAGCCACTTAACGGAAGCTCTCCCCAAAAAGGAAATCATCCAAAAAGGGGGTTCCTCTGGCAGGACTGTCACCGTGGGGTTACTGAGAGAGGCAGACACAGAGTAGCCGGTCAGGAAGCCCAGCGCCGTGTAACATCACAGTGGCGCGCAGCCACTACACAGCATTGGCTCGGGGCGTAGATGATGATATGGGAAATGTTCATGCTACGGTTTCTGGTTTCAAAAATAAGGCAACGGGGTACAAAATAGCAGCTATGATCCAGTGTCATGTTCACATCGGTTGTATCTCGGGGGTGGGATAAATAAGGACTTTGTGTTTTTCCACACCAGGAAGGGTAGACGGGAAGGAAGGGGGAGAAGGAGGCAGCAGAGGAAGAAAGATCTAGAAGAATCTCAGGCCACCAGCCACGTGGTGTTGTGGACTATGAACAGAGGTGCTAACCACAAGGCAAGTGGCTCGACTCACCGGTCCCCCCACATGATAAAGAGAAGACCCTTCAGAAAGGTTTAAGGTCTTGGGAACCCCAAAAGGGGCCGTTCTGTTCTGCCCTGTAGGCTCACTAGGGTCGGGATCGGTTGGATGGCCATGTGTTTGTCTTTGAGTTTGAAGTTTGCTGACAGAAAGAGGCGGGACAAGATGCTGGTCAAAATGCAGCCGCCCTCTGCCGTCTTCAGATAAACCACTGGGTGAGCAGGCTGGGGGAGCCCTGTTCACAGGCCCCTCGGATACCACAAGGACCCGCGGATGGGCTCCTCAGCAAGAGGGGGAAGTGGCAGAGGGCCTACCCTGTCCCCAGAGGAAGAAGGGGAGGCAGGGGGATGGGGGACCCTCTTGCTGCTGGGCTCTCCTGCCCCCAGTTGCCTGTTCCTCTTAGAAGCTTCTGGTCCCTCAATGGAGGCCCCGGAATCCCTAAAAGGGTGCCCTCCAACAGAAATGCCGTAAGGCCCAGCCCTCTCTCTCCCTAAAGGAACATCAGGAACAAATCACACGCAGATCAAGGACACACCCATGTTTATCAAACCGCTATTCCCGGAGGCAAGGAGATGGAAACCCCGGACGTGCCCACCGGTGGGGGCACGCACCGGTACACTTTGGTACGGACAGGCAACGGCATACTACGCATTGCTGAAGACGGACGGCAAAACCGTCACCTCGAGACACGGAGGAATCTCTAAGGGATTACACTGCGTGTGGCACTCGTCAATCGCACTTAAAGACAGGTCCTGTCTGAGACCATTCTTACCATCCGGGAAAAATCATAGGAAAGAAGGTTTTCATAGCAAAAGAAATAGGCATCAGTGGTCACAGGGTGAAGGGGAGAAGGAAAGGGAGAGAAGAAGGGGGTGCCCTCAGTCTTGGGGCAAAGCCCCCTCCTCTCTCTCTCTCTCTCTCTCTCCCCTCCCCCCGAGGGAGCCCTTGGGGCCGGCCACCCGCTCACCTGAACAAACACAGGGAACACCAGCACCTTGGGCGCCAGGGTGACGTAGGTGCCGTAGCTGGAGTGCGGACCGTGTGGCCTCATGACCGTGCAGTTCTGGTAGTCCCCGTGCCCCTTCATGGTCTGCACCGTCTTCATCAGTCGGGACTTCTTCCCCAGCCCGGCGTGGGGCTTCCCTTTGCTGGGACTCTCGGACTCTGTGGGAGGAACAGAGGGAGGAGGCGGCGGTGGCGGTCTGTGGGGCACTTCCATGGGCCTCGCAAAGGCATCCTGTCTAGCAGGACAAGGAGCGGAGACTCATTCGATCAGCCGCCATCCTCGAGTCTGGCATCGACCAGGGGCCGGCTCTGGCACAAGGTGCTAAGATTCCACAGTGGACAGCTGTGCTGCCACGCCCCTTCCAGCTCGCTGGCCCGCTGGCCTGGACTGACCTCAGTCAAGTCTCGGTTCCCTCCATGGGCCAACAGTACCAAGCTCCCTGGGCAGCTTGAGGGCCGGGGAGAGGCTCCTGGGGAAGCCCTGGGAACCAGACGTGCGTGCTGCTGCAGTCAGCTACCCCAAGCAGAGTGCAATGCATGGGGGGTCTCACGCACGCTCCGCCTGAGGCTATGGCCTTCCAGAAGCAGACCATGAGGCTTGTTGTCTTCAGAGAGCCTCTGGGTAGGCTTGAACTGCCTTCTGGCTAGCCATCAAACGCTTACCCATTTCTGACCCGCCCCTTCCCGGGAATCCCAGCGCAGTGCCCGGGCACTGGGTCTGCAACACAAGTTAGCTGCTAAGTGACTGCTCTTGTTTCTGTGATCCCTCCCCGTGGAAAATCAAGTCAGGTGCCCCAGTGGACTCTGGGAACCCTAGACTTTACCCCAGCCAGCAGGCACTGTTGAAGTGGCTACCAACTCACAGAAAAACCCCCGTCTCCTGTTACAATGGCAGGAGGATGCCTTCACCCTGGCCAGGGTGGGGTCGGGGCACAGGGCTTCGTCACACCCCATCAAATGGGCACGACATGGGGCAGGCAGCTGAAAGCCCGGGTCTGCTGGGAGGCCAACCGATAAGTGGCAAATTCCAAGGCCGTCGAGGCCCACCCACACCTGCACCGACCTCTCCAAGGGATGTCTGCTGCCAGGCGGCAATTAGGCAGCCCACATCCTGGGGCCCCACCTGCTTCCACCACCCCCAGCCCTGGCAGCCAGGGAGGCCGCTTCAGCTGAACAGGTGGCCTGACCCCAAGCACATCTCGGGGAAGCTCCCCACCAACGCGAGGTCACCGCTTCAGAGATAACACTCGGCTCCGGGGGTTTCACACTCGCCTTCCCCGCCCACCCCGTGCCCTTCTCACCAAGCAGACTGAGAACAACAAGTGACCACCGCTCACAGTCGCATCTTGGGGCAACGCTCCAACCGCAACGACTCCAACCACTTCCCATCTCCGCAGAGCATGCATGAAGGCCAGGACAGGGCCGGGGAGGGCAGATGCAGAGGAGAGGTCAGCCGCCTCTGCATCTGACCTGGCCCTGGCTGGACACCAGTCCCAGGGGACTCAGCGTTGGCCCCGCCCCCGGCCCCAGCTGCTGCGCCCAAAAAAACCAGCCAGAGTCTGAAGATGCATGTGGAACAAGAGGCCAGACTTGAACCCTGACTCCCCAGGGGCCTGCTCTTGGTCCCTCCGCAGCTTCTCCCAGCTCTGAGCCACAGTTTCCCCCCGGCCTGCACCAGGGCCAGTGGAGGCTCACAGGGAACTGAGGGGGGCTTCTGGAGGCCAGTGACTTGGGCCTGGGACTAGCCCACCAACGAGGGCAAGAGGTCTGCTGGGTGTGTGTCAGTCCTTGGCAGTCCGTGGCCAAGCCCAGCCCAGAGAAGGCAAAACCCACATGAGGGTTGCCTCCAGGAGACCAGAGCACTGGATGGTGCCCGGCTACAGTGACTGAGCATTTCGACCCAAGATTCCCAAGTGGGGAAACGCAGGATGGCATTTCAAATTCTCCTGGACTCCAGACTTTGGGGTGAGCCCCTGAAACCCCTTGCCCTGAGATCATCTTTAAGCCATGAGTTAGTTAATTGTGCCAGCCTGGCCGATAATCACATGTGGTGCTGGTTGAAAGGCGGAGGAATAAATGGGTGGCGAAGCCTCGCCTTTCTAGTTCTCGGGTCTCTTGTTTTGTGATGGTTGCACCAGGTGCAGCTGCCTTAGCAGTTCCCTGCTTCAGCTTGCAAGATTGACTTCCTACAAGACATCCCCAAGGAGAAGCCACATGGACCTATCTCGATGCAGCCCTGGGTGCTGGAGCAGCCGTGTGGAGACCCCTGCTAGTGCTGAGATGCTTGTTCGTTCACTGACTCAGCTTTCCTCCTGCAGTCGGCATCATTGCCTCTGTTTTGTGAGGTGGAGGACTTTGTGGACTGGTGTTGGGTTAATGGGTTAATGTTGGACTTGTGGGCTTGGGCAGCGTTGGGTTGGGATGTTTTCGTGATGCACATTTTCTTTACATAAAGCTCTCTTATACGTGAGTCGCCGTGGATTTGTTTCTCCAAAGTACCTAGACTAATACAAGCCATAAACCTGAGCATCTTTTTCAAACCAAGCACTAGTTTAACGGTCAACAAAAAAAAAAAACAACCTGTCTGGAGCAGACTGCTCTAGAAGGATGCGATCGGGGTGACAGCAACAACCGGAAAGAGGAGCTGGGCACCTGAAGGGGCAGTGAGTTTAGGCCAGTGGGGGAGGAGCCACCTGGAAAGGGGGGCTGAGGAAGGCTGCCCAACTTGACGGATGTGGTCAGCATCTCTGAGCGGCTCCTGCAGACGCAAGGGGAGCTGGTATTTGTTTTGCTGTGCCCGGTCCCAATGACAGCAAGCAGGTTCGTTTTCAGAAGACAAAGAGTAGTGTGGGCAGGGCTCTTTGCTCCTCGGTCTCACACTAAGACAAAGAGCCATTTCTTCCCAGGTGTCCAGGTTGGCCCAGACCCTGGGGCACACTAATAAGTTCCCCAACAAATACCCCTGCCTTCAGGTAGGACGGTCTGTGTGCCCTCGTTTAAAGGTCAGGTAACAGGTAACGGAGGTCTAGCGTTGTGGAGTGGCTTGCCAAGGTCATTTGGGCAAGAAACAGCAGAGACCGGCCCAGCCTACATGGGAGTCACGCCCTAGCATCCCCCCATCTCCACACTAATGGGCGTGCTGCTCCCAGACGGGGCCGAGAAGTATCCTTTATGAAAATGGCCAGCTTACAGCCCAGCTACTGAGTTCCGTGGGAGCAAAGTCATGGGTCTCTCCCCCACTGCCCCTCACGCTGCCTCGTCCCCACCTGCTTCACCCCGCTGGCCAAGCACAATAATTACAGGGCTGCGATGTAGACTTCCGAGGCCAGCCTGGCAGGCCTCCCGCCCTGGCAGTGGGAAGTCTGAGACGGGCCGCCTTCACGGAGCAGGGGACAATGCGAGGGCACTGGCGGCCCGGAGGACATGCTAGCCGCCAGCAGGCAGGCGGTCCCAGGCCCTGGAAGGGCACCAGACCCTATTCAACTCAAGAGGCCTCAGCCCTCCCTCCTGAAAGGAAGCCAGGCGGCCCCATCAGAGCCGGGAGCCAAGCTGTCGGCAGGCCTGGTGACACCCTTAACTTCTGGGGGCCCTCCAGCGTGTTCTGGGGAAGCATTACTTATCCCCCATACAGAGCGAAGGTGTCCTTAGAGACCGTGAAGATCACTACTGCAAAGGTACCCGAAACAGAATCTAGATCGTAATAAAATATATTTGAGGAGTTACGCTGGTCCTAAATCACCGTTCCTGCCTTTCCAGTGCCCTTCCCCCACAGCTCAGATGGCTGTGCCCTTCAGACAGGGACACGGGTTGGGGACACGTGGGGGAGACACGGAGGCATCTCTGTGGCTGCAAGGGACTCAATTCCAGAACAAGGGGTCCGAGTCCCCTCGCCCCCACCCACCTCCCGCTGGAGGAGAGACGTGCTGCCTGACCAGCCTGCAAACCCTTTCAGGAAACCAGACTGATTCCCCTCCAGCCATGCACTCGGGCAAAACCCTTGGGGTGCCTGCCGTCTGCCAGGTCCTGAGCTGAACAGTGGACACAGAGAAATGAGCCAGGCCCGCGGCTCTGCCCTGAGTGAGGTCGCCTGCGGGTCGCGCCGGCATCTCTGCCCTCACCCAATGTGCCCGACAGATGACACCTGTCAGAATGACCCGTCGCCAGATGAGGATCAGAGTCCGTCCCCCCCCCTCCAAGAAGGGGCACAGACGGATTCCCAAGAGACCAGGCCCCGCCGTGCAAACATCTCGGGAGAGGAATGAGGAGGGAGGCACCACGGGTGCCCTTCCATGTGGTGGCTGCAAGCCAGCATCGTGGACACACAGAAGGCGGCAAGGAAGGAAGCCCCACAGGAGGCAGGGACAGGCCAAAGGAGGAGGTCAAAGGGCATCCTGAAGCTGCCAGAGGAAGTGCTTGAGCTCGCCCAAACTGGGCATCACGGGCACTGGCAAGGCCGGCCGCACCTTCCGGATGCCACCAGCCATCCGTTCCAACACCAAACGGACCCCCCCTCAGGATTCCCGGGAGCGGGACTGCTCTTAGGCTGAGATTGGTAGGAGACAGGAGCAGACCCCATTCACACTGCAGGGGCATCGGTGTCCCTCTGAGACACCTGCCCACACAGGAGACAGGCTGTTACTGGCCACCACCAACTAACCCAACCCTCCTGCGACTCTTCGCGGTGGGACTCGCCAGCTAGAGAAGCCAGGGCAAAGCAAGTGGACGGTTGGGGGGTGGGGGGTGGGGCTGTTCAAAGCTGCACAGCTGGAACTCAAGCCCGAGGCTTGCCAGCCCCCCAAAAGTCATGCCTCCCGGCCTGGGCTGGCAGACCAACCAACCACATTCCGGAGAGGTTGCCCAGGGCAACTGGCGGAATCTCATCTGAGACTAGGGAGTCTTGGAGACCTTGGGTCTTGGGCTGCTCCAGGAAGATTCCCTCTCTTCCTCGTTCAGGCTCCGGGAGAAAAGGACAGTGGTTTGTTCCGTGAGGCAGATGAAGTACCAAGAGCAGAGAGAGAGGGGGGCAGCGTCCACAGGCTGGAAGGCAAGGCCTCTGGCATCGGTGCTTACCAGGGAGGTAGAGAGTAGGGCAGCCGAGGGCGGACTCACCTTCGGGGATGGTGTCCTCCTGGTACACGGGCCTCAGCAGCTGCAAAGGAAAGATGGGAGGGCAGCCTCAGCTCCAAGAATGGGGCGGAGCCGCCAGGCAGGCTGCAGGCCCCAGGCAAGCCAGGCCAGACGGAGGGTTGGAAGCTCAAAGCAGCCATCGTCTGGCCCACAGAGAGAACACCGAGTCCCTGGAGATTCGCCTAGCGCAGCCCCTCGGCCAATTCTCCAACGCCCTTTGCAGCAGCGGTTCCACGGTGCACACCACGGAAGGCTGGCACCGTGGGACACGGACCACAGGCTTGGAGGGCGCCATGTGCAGGCAAGCCTGTGGGATGCAGGCTCCTTGCGGACAGAGGAACCCCCCACCCCCCACCGCAGGGCCTTGAACAGGCCCCGGTGCATCAGGAATAGGAAGAGAATAGGGACAGTCTCCCAAGACTCAGGACACATTTCCCCTGGGATTCCCATGGGACTCACGTTGTGGAGAACACACTGTCTCATCCCCACATGCAGTTGCCCACCCAGGGCTTGCTTACATGCCTCCTACGACCGGGAGCTCACTACCTTCCAAGGTGGCTTACCCCACTGCCAAGAAGCAGGGGCTGAGAAGGGTTTCCTTCTGAGGGGTGAAACCTTCCACCCTGAGCATCCCCCAAAAGCCTTGCAGCTGTGCCCTGGGGCCACGGGGACCCACCTGTGCTCTCTCCCCGTGACAGCCCTGCGGACCCTGGCTTGCTCTGCCTCCTGGTCTGACATCCCAGCCACTTAAAGTCTCCTGTCAGCACAACAGCGAGTCTTTGGGTTTGCATGGGCTTGCACGGGGACCCAACAGCCCTCACTGGCCCCGAACCCGCCGTCCGTACCTGGCTGCCAGGGTTCAGCGGGGCCAGGATGATGTAGTTGGGGTCAGTGGGGGCCGTGGCACGGGACAGCGTGGGCAGGGTGTGCTGGCCTCGCTTGGTCACCTCGGTGTAGCGCTCCCAGCCGCCGCCGCCACCCAGCAGCAGCCCGTCGGAGCTCTCGCACACCAAGTGGCAGCTGTGACGTTGCTCAGGCCGCACCTGGGCCCCATGAGAGCAGTTCTTCTCCCGCTTGTTGGGTGGTGACTGGAGGTCCTGTGTGGACTTGCAGGAGGCCCGCCGCAGCACCCCGCCATCCGGCCCGGGCTTGACCTGGGGGACCATGCGCCACACGAGCAGGATGATCTCGATAGGGCAGCTCCTGGAGAGTGGGGTGGGGCGGGGCGTGGGGATGGGCACACAGAGAAAGTGAGCCTGGGGCAGCCCAAAGTCAGGCGGGGTGAGGGGCTTGTAGAGGAGGAAGCTGAGGCATGGAGAAGCCCACCATGGGCAGTAGGGCAGAAACACAGGGAAAGGGTTTCTGAAGTCACCACCCATCAGCCTGGCAGCGGCTGGCAATGACCTTTGTGGGTATGGCCAGGATGATGGACCAGGAGAGACTGCCATACTCAACCAAGGATGTCTGCCCTGTGCAGAGCGTGAGCAGGTGGGGCCGCGCAAGCCAGCTGTGGACCGCCCTCCCCTAGTTACTCCAGAGCCCAGACACAGGGGCTGCGAGGGCTTTACTGCCACCAAGCCCACTGCCATCAGGCCCATGCCGACTCCCAGAGGCCTGGTAGGGGGGTTCTGAGTCTGCACAGGGGCAGACAGCCTCATCTTCCTCCCGAGGAGCGGCTGGTAGGCCGCAACCACCAACCTTGCGGTAGGCAGTCCAACACTTCCGTGACAGCACCCTGGGGCTTGAGCCCACCACGTGCAAGCAGGAGCAAGACCTGGCACCTGGGAGCCCCTCTGGCTCACAGCCACCCCAGATATCCCAGAGTAGACCTGCTCCCTCGGGCTCCCTTTGGCCGGGATCTTAACAGAAATACAAGGTTGCCAGGCCTTTCTACCACGGTGCCGGGGGGCCGGGGGGGGGGGCAGGCTCAAGTAGCCAAGCTTTAGGGTTGATAGAAGGCTGCAAACCATGTGCATCACCCAGCCCCCCACCTCACCCCAAAAACACCTCACTGCCATCGAGTGGAGGCTGACTCATAGTGACTGTAGAAAGCAGGGCAAAACTGCTCCTGTGGGTTTCCAAAACTCCCTTCAGGAGTAGAAAGCCTTGTCTTTCCCCCCTCGGAGCGGCTGGTGGTTTCAAACTGCTGGCCTTGCGATCAGCAGCCTAGGGCCAGGGTATCATCATTTATAGGAAACCCCAACACAGCCCCAAGGTAATAGTAGTAACTATTGGATGTTTAAACCGTGCCGCTTCAACCTCCTCAGCACTGACACTTCCTTCCGCCCAGTTCCTGGGGCGCGGGGATAATGAACCCAAAGAGAAAGTCCGCCGGAGGAGCCGTGTGGAAGCAGGGGCTCTGCTGGAGAGCTGTGTCCCAGCCTTCCAGAATCCCTGGACAGCCAGGTGCAGGGGTCCGGGCAGAGCAGAGGGGGGACGGGCTACAGCAGGGCAAGATGGGGGCAGGCATCCGCCCGAGGCCCAAGGCCCCCTGCTGCCCCACGCACCGGATCTCATGAGCCAGGTCCACGCATTTCCAGTGCTCCACAGGCCGCTGGTTCAGCTGCAGCACAGTGTCCAGCTGCTGCAGCCCGGCCCGCTCTGCGGGGCCCCCTGCAGGGACAAAGAAAAGCCAATCAAGATGCCCGAAGAACTTGAGTCCTTTGCCACCATCGTGACTTGGGCAGGGGCCATTTCTCCATCTGTGGGCAAAGGGAGGGGCTGGGGCTGGTGGGTCTCGCTCGGCCTTTGCCCTCTCCTCCTCCCTCCACCTCGTCCTGAACACAGCTGACTCCTCTGTCATCCACCATCCCCACAGACCCCAGGGGAGGTCCCAGCCCCGTGACAGCCCCTCCTTGTTGCCAGGTTCACATGCCACCCATCACTGTGCCCCAGCCACCCCGAGCCCCGAGCCCTGGATCCGGCCCACCAGTCTCACTCCATGGTTGAGAGAAGCCTTTTATTGACGATAAGTGGGGGGCTGCTGTTTTAAATGCTAATCCAGCTTGAGATAGAATAAAACACCAATTCCAAGCAGGGTTCATAAACTACTCTCATTTTCCTCTGCTGCCATTTACTGAAAATATAGGTTTCGTTCCTGTTCAAGGAGGCTGGGAGCCGAGATACAAAAACCTGTTTTCATATATATATGAACAAGTGTGTTTTCATAAACCTCAGGTTTTGTTGGTGGTCATTTACAAATATTATTCTTACTGGTCCAACCTGGGTCTCCCTGTCCAGTCGCAAAGCCCCCAGCGGGGCGTGGTGGCTGAGGGGATGGGGCCTGGCCCGGGTCGCTCACTTACCGGAATCCACAGCCTGGACTCGAACTGGTGAGTCGCAGCAGATAGTGAAGCCAAAGCCGTCCTTCCCCCTGGGGATGGTGATCTAGGACAGAGCCCTGCCCAGTTACTCCCAGGAGCCCCGAGGTCAAGGTAGGGAGCCCACAGGCCCCACCCAAAAGCCCCTTTTCCTCCCTCCTCCCCTCCCCCGCCCTCCCCTCTTGGGGGCTCCCCTATCTCAGCCCAGGTACTGTGAGCACTTGGGGATGAGCCCAGCAGGAGGGCTGAGACCTCAGGAGGGAAGCTCAGACAGAGGTGGACAGAGCCTGGGCCAGAACCTGGACAGGGTGATCCTTGCCTTCCTCGGTCCCGGCAAATGGGCAGGACTGTCTGGGGCAGCCCACTGGGCCAGCACTCGCACAGCTCCACCTCACTGTGAGCCGCTGCCCACCTGGTCCCTTCTTCCCTTCCGGGAAGGTCCCGAAGCACAGGCCCACATGCCAAGCCCACGCAGCCGCCGCCCTCTCAGATCAGGTGGAGACACACTACACACTCAGTCTCAGGTCAGCAGGGGCAGCCCAAGGCCAAGGTCACAGTATCCAGTGCGGACTTTCAAACTAGCCCCTGGCCTCATGAGCTGCGCCTGCTCAGCAGGCCACACCCCCTCCTTTCACAAGCCCCCTGGAAGGGCCCGGCCCTCTGGGTGTGCTTGTCGGTGTGGCACACGCTTGTTGAGACCCTCTGGCACGCAGGTGTCGTTGAGGGACAGAGAATGAGGGGCACGGGTGTATGCAGACCTGTCCCAGACAAGCAGAGCACCGTAAGCATTGAGCAAAGCGTGAGGATGGGTGGACTGTGCTGGGATCAGAAGCCAAAATGACTTCAGAGACTCAAGAAAAATCTTGGTTTCAAAAGGGAGAGAAATGTGAAACAAAACCTCCAGTTTGCATGGGGGTCCAGAATCTCTGGAGACACTGAGACTGCAGGATGACCCCCCTGTTCAGGATAACACTGTTATCCTGAAAAAAAAGAAAAACCTTTAAGCCAAAAATATTCCCCGAAGCCACCTTTCAGCCAGACAGAAATTTGGCTTCATCCATGTCTGCCTGGAGCCCTAGGGTCTCGTAAAGGAGGAGCTGTACAGATCAGATTAACAAAGGCCGAGCCAAAGGAGAGACGAGATGCTCGGCAGGGTGAGGGGGGTGGCGTCGTCGTGAGTTAGTGCTGATGGTAGAGATAATGTGGGGAAAGATGCCGAGAAAGGTAACCCAGCCGGAAGGAAGGCCGTGCCAGGGTTGCCGACTGCATGTGTGGAAATTGAACAGGTGTTGGCCTTCAGTCTTGGAAACGCCAAAGCGTGGCTCTGTTCGGTCTACAGGGCCCCTGGGGGTTGGGATGGGCGACAGGTCTCGTGTTTTCCTGTGTAAATCTCCACCCTTGGTGCACAGTGGGGACGCAGCACGGCTAAGCAAGGGGGCTGCCAGGGTACAGTGAGACCAGCTGCTCCCGGCAGCTTAGCCTGGCTGCCCACGGGCCCTCAGCAGCTGCCCCTGAAGACCCAGCCCCGGCCCACCCACAGAGCAATCCAAAGGTCACTGGGAAGGTTTGAATGGACAAGGCTTTAAAAGAGGTTCTGAGAGAACCCCGGGAAGTGAGACTTGGGGGTGGGGGCGCTGAGGAAGAAGCCCCTGCTCGGCAGTCCTGGAGAAGGCCAAGAGGAGGCCCCCCCCACCAGGCCTTCAAGGCTGGGTGCCCAGCATTCACCTGAGAGCTGCCCAAAGGTCAGGCGTGATGGCAGCAGGGTGCCCCGTCCCCCCCCCCTGGAAACGCGGTGGGTGGGGTGTGGGTGGGTGCTGAGGCTCTGCCTCCCACCAGCCCTCCCTGGGCCTGGATTCAAAGCGAGTTTGTCAAACAGGAAATCTGACAGACAAGGGGGAGGGGGGGGCAGGAAAATACCCTGTTCCCATAAGAATGCTGGGAAAACACGCTGCTAAGACAGGAAGAGGGGAAACTGGAAAGGCAGAAACTAACAAACTCTGGAGAGAGTGCGGAAGTGGATGGAGGAGAGGGGCGGCCCTCACTGTCAGGCCCAGGCGAGGCCAGGGCGGGTGGGGGACGCCTGCGGCCTGACCCATCCCACGCGCCCCCCCCCCCACCCCGTTACAGGGCATTTTGTAACACCTGGAAACCCCCCTCTCAACCCAAGCCTTTCGAGCACCCACCCTCCGACTGTCTGAACGCACCAAGGGACCACAGCCTCCCCTGCCTGGGTGCTGGCCCTGGCCAGTAGGACCCAGCACCTGTGGGCGCCGGCCCGAGGTGAGTCTGGAGATAAGTCACGTGCCCCAGCAAAGACGCCCCCCTTCCCACACCCTGGCCGCCTTGTCTCCACCTTGCAGAGAACAGGCCTCGGAAGAGCCAGCCCAGGGACAGGCCAACCCAAATGGGTGGGGGCATCATGCGGGCAAGCTCGTCTCCTGGCTCCAGGTATGAAGGAAGCCCAATGACACTCCCTCCACTGTGAGCAAGGGCCACCCCGAGAGAACCTGGCCCAGCGTTCCTGGTCACCGCAGAGAAGAACGCGGGCTGGTTCTCGTGGGCCCACGTCACATAGAAGGACACTGAGGCAGAGTACACACACACACACACCCCACCCCCTCCCAGGTCTGAGCCCTCTGGTTCAGGTTCAGGCGGTGCAGGAAGCAGGGAGCAGTCCTGTCCCGAGCCTGGGACCTCTTGGCTCCTGGCAGGGACAGCCCTTCCTGGGGGTGGTTCGTGCTCTTTCCTGCCCAGGGCAGGGGCTGTCGCGGCTCCTGGTCTCATAGTAGCAGCCCCTCATTTCTGCCCTGTGATCCCTTCCTGGATGGACCTCCAGACACCGTCCCGGGCACTGTACATTTGGGCACCATTTTCCCCACTTACTGACAAGGAGCCTGAGGCTCAGAGGGGGGACTGGTTCCAGCCACAGCTAAGGAGGGGTAGAGCTGGTTTCAGCCCAGTCCCACACTGCACTCGGGGACTTCCAACCCAGGATCCGTCTGAGCTCTGGGGCCCAGCCCCCCAGCCCCAGCCCACACTCACACGGGGCCCACTCTAACGCTTAGAGCCCAGAGGTGACCAAGAGGGCGCTGGGCTTCTAGACTTCCTGTGTTCTTCTGATTCCCCACCCTGCCCAGTGGCTGATGTCCCAGAAGTCGCACTGGCCTGGAGGCCGGGTGTGCAGGGCAGGCCCTGAGAGCTGGGCCAGGCTGGAGGGAGAGCAGAGGCGCCCTTATTGGGTGGGTGCCGCGAACAGCAGGGTGCCGCTTGTGACCTAAGTGAAGTGTGTCGGAAGGAGTCAGGGGCCCAGATTCCCATTTGGTGGCTAAAACCAGCAGAAGGATTTTCCCACGCACTAAAACTCGGAACCACTTCGGGGCGCTCTTCCAAGTTGGACATTCCCCAAGTCCAGGCAGCCCTTGCCTTCACTGTCCCTGCCCCCATCCCATTTCCAAGAAGAAGGTGGGGGGAGGGGGGGCTTCATCATAGTTTGAAAGAAGGGGCTAGGGGGCAAACTGGGTCGTCACCCCCATTCCACTCTGCCCCACATTCTAAGTCTGGGGGCCGAGAGGAATCCTGAGCCACCTGGGGAGGCGGAAAATCGTGTGTGCATGCACACACACAGAAGCCTGGAGTTTCACACACCAGCACCCACACACGCATCACACACATACACACACCAGGTGGGCATCAGAAGCAAGGGACCAACATCCCAAATATACCAAACCCCTTCCAGAAACTCCCAGACATCTATTTATACCCATGCCTGTCCCCACCCACCCAAAATAAAAGTACAGGGGCTATCAGTCAGATAACCTCACTCCGGACCCCACCCAGTCAGTGGGGAGCACAGGGCGCTGAGCTGGGTCTCCTTACCCTGAGAGAGGGGTGGTGGCAGCAGGTAGGACCTGGGTCCAATTCCCTTCTTCCTGGATCAGGACAACCCCACAGGGTGCTGGTGGGGAGGGTGAGGACGGCCGAGCAGGGAGCCCCCACCCGTGGGCCTCCCAGGGCCAAGCACGCACCTGGCGGTAGCGGCGCTCCGAGCACACCTTGCACAGCCCCTGGAAGCGGTTCATGGCTGCAGGTCCTGCCTGGGCTGCCGCCCCATGAAAACCCGGCTGTCCCCGGGCCGCGGGAGCCCTCACTGCGCCCCGTCAGCCTGGCATGACCGCCCTGGGAAGCCCGCCCCGCAGAAGAATAGCAGGAAATCACCCCTCACCTCCCCAAGCCCTGTCTGCGCTGTGTGCCTCTGCACGATAAGCCCCAAGGCTTCCTGCAACCTCGGACTGACAAGGAAGAGGGAGAGTTTTATATTAAAATTCCTGTCAACTAGTTAGTATTCCCCAGGCCCCGGCCGGGGAGAGGGCGCCTTTGTTCTGGCTGCATTCTCCGCCATGGGCCACTTTGTGATTCCTGTGTTCTCACAGACACCCCTCCTCGCTGGACAAGAATGAGCCCAGGCAGAAAGCACGCCCCGCTGACAACAGCACCCCCGCCCCCTGCCAGGGCCAGGGTCCCCGCAGCAAACGTGGGGTGGAGAGGGACTAGTCCAGCCTCAAGAATTTCCAGGTGCCTGCCATGCAGAGGGGGGAGAGCAGGCAGGACCCATAGGCACCCCTATCACAAGACAAGAGGCACACAGGCTTTGCAGAGCCGGGACCAGCGTGCCCCTGGGGTGACCTGAAGGTCAGTTTGCTCATGCGTGGGATGGGCTGCTGGCAGCAGAGGATGACCACTGAGCCAGCAGCCTCATCTTACAGAGGAAGAAACTGAGGCAAGGAAGCCCCAGGATCTCCTCGGGGAGAGCAGCACAAAGTGGGACCCTGCCTTCTTGCCACCCCCCTTAGAGAACATCCCTGATGCCAGAGAGTGCCCCTGGGTCCAGGCCCTCTTTGGCAGGTCGCCCAGGTTTCTGGACTTCCATGTCCTCGTCAGCAATTGAGGGGCTAAAAGATGACCTCCCCTCCAGTCCTGACCAAGCCTCTGAAATCACCCCCACTGTGCCCATCCTCCTCCCACCCAAACCAGAAAGTCAGGGGCAGCGCAGAGTGATGCCCTGTGTGC